TTTGTAAGCATTTATTAGGTCCCCTCGCAGCCTTCTCTTCTTCAGGCTGAACAAGCCCAACTCCCTCAGCCTCTCCTTGTAGGGGAGATGTTCCATTCCCCTCATCATCCTTGTAGCCCTCCGCTGGACTCTCTGCAGTAGCTCTTCATCTTTCTTGAAGTGGGCAGCCCAGAACTGGATGCAGTACTCCAGATGGGGCCTTACTAGGGCAGTGTAGAGGGGAAGTAGAACCTCCCTCGACCTGCTGGCCACACTCCTCCTAATGCACCCCAGGAGAGCACTGGCCTTCTTGGCAACCAGGGCACACAACTTCACCCCCGGTCTGTAAGCCAGAGGGATGGAGAGCGCTGGGCCTGAGCTGCCCGGGCTGGAGTGCCCACGGCGCTGTGGATGTGCCCCCGCGCCCGCAGTGCCACGCCATATTTTGAGACGTATCTCAGCCGGGGAGGGCAGGGGGGATGCCCGCTCAGTGCCCCGCCGGTCTCGTTGCAGCGGTGTGCCGGTACCCCTTGGGAATGTCGGGCGGGCACATCCCCGATGAGGACATCTCAGCCTCCAGCCAGTGGTCCGACAGCCAGTGGTCCGAGTCTACAGCCGCCAAGTACGGACGGTGAGTGCGGAGACCCTGCTGCGACAGCCATGGCAAGGTCTGGGCTGCCGTGGAGTGACAGAAGAGGGGCACGGGGCCGGCTTTGGCCTCCTGCGAATGGATCCTCAGCTCCGCTTTTGCAGGCTGGACTCGGAGGATGGCGATGGCGCCTGGTGCCCCGAGATCCCGGTGGAGCCCGACGACCTCAAGGAGTTCCTGCAGATCGACCTGCGCGGCCTTCACTTCATCACGCTAGTGGGCACCCAAGGACGTCACGCCGGGGGCCATGGCAACGAGTTTGCCCCCATGTATAAGATCAACTACAGCCGGGATGGCACCCGCTGGATCTCCTGGAGGAACCGGCACGGGAGGCAGGTGAGGAGGCGAGCAGGGTCTGTGCTGGGTGGCTGCGGGCTGCACCTGCCCATCCCCACTGCGCTTCTCTCTGCCCAGGTGCTGGATGGAAACACCAACCCCTACGACATCGTCCTCAAGGATCTAGAGCCTCCCCTCATCGCCCGCTTCATCCGCTTCATCCCTGTCACTGACCACTCCATGAACGTCTGCCTGCGCGTGGAGCTGTACGGCTGCGTCTGGCTGGGTGGGTGGCACGGTCCCGCGCCCCTTCCCCGTGTCCCCAAGCCCCGCTGGCAGGCTGTCTGTCCTGCCAGGGGCTGTCTGTCCTGAGCACCCCGGAGCCGGTGGGCTCACCCTCCTGTCCCCGCAGACGGGCTGGTGTCCTACAACGCGCCGGCCGGGCAGCAGCTGGTCCTTCCCGGGGGCACCGTCATCTACCTGAACGACTCAGTGTACGACGGGGCGTTCGGGTACAGGTGAGGACCCGGCGGACTTGCAGACGTGGTGGGCGCTGCGAGAGGGGAGGGAGTGTTCCTTCCCTGCGCTTGCAGGCTGGTGTGCTGATCCTCAGCCGAGAAAACACTTTGGGTATCCCTGAAGCGGGGGACGTGGCCAGCTCTGGGAGGCTGCGCGTCTTGACGGGGAAAGCACCCCCGACCCTTCTCCTGGATTTACGCGAACCGCACTGCGCATCCAGCATCCCGCAGCCTTTTCCAGAGGGAGCATTAAGCAGAACAAACTCCCCCTCCTGAGTTTCCCAGGGGCTGCGAGGAGCTGTCGGCTGGGGTGCTGGGTGGCGGCAGGTTGGTGGGGCTGGCAAAAGTCACGGTCCCTTTACCCCCCTCGCACACGCCAGCATGACGGAAGGCCTGGGCCAGCTGACGGACGGGGTGTCGGGGCTGGACGACTTCACGCAGACCCACGAGTACCACGTCTGGCCGGGCTACGACTACGTGGGCTGGCGCAACGAGAGCACTGCCGGCGGCTACGTGGAGATCACCTTTGAGTTCGACCGCATCAGGAACTTCACCGCCATGAAGGTCCATCATCCCCTCCAACCCTGTCCCCCGTCCCCATCCCCTGCCATGGCCACGCTCACCGGCTGCCCCACAGGTCCACTGCAACAACATGTTCGCCAAAGGGGTGAAGATCTTCAAGGAGGTGCAATGCTATTTCCGCGCCGACACCAGCGAGTGGGAGCCCAGCACCGTCTCCTCGGTGCTGGTGCTGGACGACGTGAACCCCAGCGCCCGCTTCGTCACCGTGCCCTTGCTCCACCGCATGGCCAGCGCCATCAAGTGCCAGTACTACTTCGCCGATGCCTGGATGATGTTCAGCGAGATCACCTTCCAGTCAGGTATGCTCCACCGCAAGCCCTGTGGGGACCGGACCCTCCTGGGGGGGTTTCATGGAGGGAGTAGGGCTGTGGGGCACCCATGCCTCACCCTGATGCTCTCCTCTTCTCTCTTGCCAGATGCAGCCATGTACAACAACTCTATGGCCCCCCCTGAGGCTCCCGTGGTCCCCACCACTTATGGTAAGGCATCGAAAAGCGTGTCGCCCTGAGCTGGGTGGGGAGATGCTCTGGGGGGCTCTGCAAGGGCTCTCCTCATGCCTCAGGGCGACTGGCTCTTGCTGTCCTCTCCTCCTGCCAGACCCCACGCTCAAGGTAGACGACAGCAACACGCGCATCCTGATCGGTTGCCTGGTGGCGATCATCTTCATTCTGCTGGCCATCATTGTCATCATACTGTGGCGGCAGTTCTGGCAGAAGATGCTGGAGAAGGTGGGCAAGTGCGGGGTGGCTGGCGAGGGGCAGTAGCCTCATCCTGGGCAGGTTGGAGTCACCATCCCTGGAGGTGTTCAAAAAACGCCTAGATATGGCACTTCAGGACATGGTTTAGCAGGCACGGTGGTGTTGGGGTGACGGTTGGACTTGATGCTCTTAGAGGTCTTGTCCAACCTTAATGATTTTACAATTCTATGATTCTCCTGGGAGCTCAGCATGGGGATAGCAGACTCCATGCAGGGGTTGATGCTCCCTTCCTCGGGAAGATTGTGATTTGCACCCATCTCCCAAGCAAGAGGATTTAGCTGAGCATCCTTTAGCTGAGGATTTGGGACCTGCCTGCTTCTCCATCCCTCTGTCCTGAAGCTGGGCTGGGTAAGAGGAGCCTGAGCGGGTCTCACTGCAGCCCCTGGCTAACTGAGGACAATCACAGAGGTGATGGAGCCAAACTCTCCTCCACAGAGGCAGACAATGGGGGAGGGGGGGACACAGGAGGACAAACGTCTTCTCCAGGTGGGTGCTGCAGCCCTGGGACAGGGCACCAGAGAGGAGGGCTCAGGGCTGGGCACGGCCACAGTGCCATGGAGCACAGGACGCCCTGTCCTCCCAGTGCTGTGGGAACCCCCTGTCTCAGCTCCCTGCTCCCTTGCCTCCCTCTCACAGGCATCACGGAGGATGCTGGATGATGAAATGACCGTCAGCCTCTCCCTGCCCAGTGAATCGAGCATGTTCAACCACAACCGCTCCTCCTCCTCCAGCGAGCAGGAGTCCAGCTCCACCTACGACCGCATCTTCCCCCTGGGACCCGACTACCAGGAGCCTTCCCGCCTGATCCGCAAGCTGCCCGAGTTCCCCCCGGTGGAGGAGGACACCGGTGAGAGCCGAGACACCTTGTGTGCTGAGAGCTACCAACCACGCGTTGCGCCTGCTGCAGCCTCCTCTCCCCAGCCCCAGCTTTGGGCCAATCTCCAAACATTTTGGCACAGAGGGATGGCGAGAAGGTCACACAAAGCCTCTGACCAACAGCCATCCCGGGTGCCCACCACCAGGCTGAGCTGTGTCCCCCCCACCGTCCTTGGGATGTTCTGGCATCTCTTCCCCGGTGATCTGGAGGTCAGGCGCTGATCCCTGCTCAGCCTGTGCTGGGGGCTGGGTTGGTG